CTGCAGCTAACATGTAACCCTTTCTGTAAGCTGATATTTTGGGGTTATTTGTCGCTACAATATAACTTAGCTGAAGCTGACTAATACACTCCCTGAAACTTTTTATTTGGCTTTGGTAACACTCCTTCTTCATCATTTCAATCAATAAACACTAATCAGTGTCCCACTACATATGAGAGACAACATAGCATAGTGGTTAATAGTACAGACAGGAAAGGCAGACTGGAGAAGCTTTACTCACAGTTTCCAAGTGTCTGGAAGTAACTATAGAAGCCTAATTTGCGTATCAACTGGGAACTCCTGGAAATGAGAGTGTCTCCAAGAGATATATTTGATACACGTCCAGAGAATTCCTGAATGAAAGAATCTGGGATTGTCAAGCTGATATCATGAACCCCACATTTAACACAGTTAAGTGAAGAGATGGGACAAAGGCCAGGCTTGGGAAGGAAGGAGAGATCAACAAAGGCCTTACCCAGGGCAGATAAAAATTGATAGAATGGGACAAGCGCATTGGCTCATGCTTGTAATCCCAGCACTTTGGGAGGCCAAGGTGGGTGGATCACTTGAGGTCAGGTTTTCAAGACCAGCCTGGCCAACATGGTGAAACTCATCTATACTAAAAATACAAAAATTAGCCGAGTCTGTTGGTGGGTCCCTGTAATCCTAGCTACTCGGGAAGCTAAGGCAGGAGAATCGCTTGAACCCAGGAGGTGGAGGTTGCAGTGAGCTGAGATCGAGCCACTGCACTCCAGGCTGGGCAACAGAGTGAGACTCCGTTTCAGAAAAGAAAAAGAAAAAGAATGTGGTGGCCGTGCGCAGTGGCTCACACCTGTAATCCCAGCACTTTGGGAGGCTAAGGTGGGTGGATCATCTGAGGTCAGGAGTTCAAGACTAACCTGGCCAACATGGTGAAAACCCACCTCTACTAAAAATACAAAAATTAACCAGGCATGGTAGCAGGTGCCTGTAATCCCTGCTATTCAGGGGGCTGAGGCAGGAGAATTGCTTGAATCTGGGAGGCGGAGGTTACAGTGAGCCGAGGTGGCACCACTGCACTCCAGCCTGGACAACAGAGTGAGACTCCGTGTCAAAAAAAAAAAAAGGATGTGGTGGGTAGAATGAAATTTCAGGTTTTCTTCTTTAGTCTCTAGTCATTCTCTGACTTCTTTCCCCTCAAGTATTGGCTTCCCAGCTTTTAGTCGTCATTCTCTTCTCTCTACCCTCCCACAAAACAAACTCATCTCCTCTATGTCTTTGACACAGGTAGTAATAGTTAACATTTACTGAGTGCTTACCATGAGTAGGGCACTGTGCTAAGTACTTTATATCCGTTATCTAATCTGATACTTACAGTGATCCTGTGCAGTGGGTATTGGCATCCTGATTTTGCGAAGAGAAATTGAGGCCCAGCAGGGTTAAGTGACTTGCAGTGTCACATAAGGTGCTTTGGGCAGTGGGTATCAGAATACCGACATTGATGCGGCTTGAACATTAGGGGTTCATCTCTCATCACAAGAGGTGTGGAAGAAGGTGACATCTGAGTTGCTTAATTCAGCAGCTCAGTGATGTCAGACCCTAGGTCAGCTTCCCTCTGAGTCTCACAGCTCTCCCCTCCTGCTCCCAAGATAGCTGTTACATTTTAAGCGCTGCATCATCCCTGAGCCGGGCAGGAAGGGGGTTTTTCTTCTTGTGGATCCCTTTTTCCTGGAAAGCAAAGCCTCCCACAAAAGCCCCCAAGAGAATTTCCTATAGGACCCTATCTCCTCTCCCCCTTTTTTCTTTCCTTACCCTCTTGAGTTGTAACTCCAGCCAGACTGACCCTCTTTCAACTGTGTACCAAACAGAAGTCTTGGTGGCAAACCTAAGCAGCGAAGGAATTTATTGAATACTGTGAGGTTCTCACCAATTCCAAACATGAGTAGGAACCAAAAGCAATTAGGCTAAGAACACAGCCAAAGACATGGCACAGTAAAAGCCTACCTGGACAGCCACCACTGTCCATGGTCCCCCCACTGTGGCTGGACTCTCACCTCCCCACCAAGAACAGGCCCTGTCCCTTCCTCTCTCTCCCTCAAGAGTCAAAGTCCTGGGTAGGACACCCCACTGGCCAAGCCTGGTTGCGTGCTAACTCCCCTGTTGCCAAGAAGGCAGGCAAGAGTCTGCCCTTTCAGCTTCTTCAGGGTGGCTCTGTTTTTCCCCAAATTCCTTGCAATAAAGGGTTTCCACAACACAAGAGGGGTGTTCCTCTGCTGAATATCACAGTTCCCCTCAACTTTCTATAATCTTTCGTTCTTTTTCTTTTTCCTCCAGAGACAGGGTGTTGCTCTATCCCTCAGGCTGGAGTGCAGTGGCGCGATCTCAGCTCACTGCAACCTCCGCCTCCCAGGTTCAAGTGATTCTCATGCCTCAGCCTCCCGAGTAGCTGGGATTACAGATGCCCACCACCATACGTGGCTAATTTTTGTATTTTTAGTAGAGATGGGGTTTCACCATGTTGGCCAGGCTAGTCCTGAACTCCTGACCTCAGGTGATCTGCCCACCTCGGTCTCCCAAAGTGTTGAGATTACAGGCATGAGCCACCACGCCCAGCCTCTTGTCCTAATCTTTCTTGACTCCAGACCTTTGCACATGCCATTCCCTTTGTCTAGAATACCCTTCTTCCCTCTCTTCTCTAAGCAAATCCTCCTTGTTCTTAAGGTTTCGTCTCACTTCCACATCATTTCCCTGCAAATCTGAGCTAGGGGCTCCTCTATTGTATTGTTACTGAAGCCTGTACCTTCCCCAGCACAGCCTCCATCAATGTCTTATTTTTTTCCCCCCTTGACTGCAAGTTCTGTAGAAGTGGAGAGTTTTCTTTCTCTCTTTTTTCTTCTTTTTTTCTTGAGATGGTGTCTCGCTCTGTCACCCAGGCTAGAGTGCAGTGGTGCAATCTCAGCTCACTACAACCTCTGCCTCCCAGGTTCAAGCGATTCTCCTGCCTCAGCCTCCTGAGTAGCTGGGATTACAGGCATGCGCCACCACACCTGGCTAATTTTGGTATTTTTAGTAGAGACAGGGTTTCACCATGTTGACCACGCTGGTCTCAAACTCCTGACCTCAGGTGATGCGCCTGCCTCGGCCTCTCGAAGTGCTGGCATTACAGGTGTGAACCACCGTGCCCAGCCCAAAGTGGAGAGTTTTCTAAAGGTGGAAAACTTGCTTTTGTTTTGTTTTTAGACACAGGGTCTTGCTCTGTCACCTGGGCTGGAGTGCAGTGGCCTGATTATAGTTTACTGCAGCCTCAACCGCCTGCTGCAAGTGATTCCCACACTTCAGCCTCCCAAGTAGCTAGTGTAAGAGTTAAGAAAGAGGAAAGAAACACGTGGTGTCTGTTAACTTTCCAGGAATTAGGTTAACTTGCCTTGAAGGGAGTGTCTGGTGAAGAAGCCGGTAAAATTTCTTCTTTAGAAGAATCGAGACCATCCTGACTCATACGGTGAAACCCCGTCTCTACTAAAAATATTTTAAAAATTAGCCAGGCGTGGTGGCGGGCACCTGTAGTCCCAGCTACTCAGAAGGCTGAGGCAGGAGAATGGCGTGAACCCGGGAGGCGGAGCTTGCAGTGAGCCGAGATCGTGCCACTGAGCTCCAGCCTGGGCGAAAGAGCAAGGCTCCGACTCAAAAAAAAAAAAAAAAAAAAAAAAAAAAAAAAAAAAGAGAGAGACCACAGCTGAAGGGATAGCAAATTCATCACTAAGATGTAGAAAATGAGTTGCTAGGAGCCTGTGGGGAAGCATATGGTTTCATTACACACTCTTAACTAAAGGTTCAAAGGGGCCCTCGGGGCTAGATGGGACTTTCACATACCAAAAAGCTGTAGAAATTATTTCCCTATCCAAGAGGGTAATCGCTTTTGAGAAAAACTATCTTTTCCTGACTTTAAAAGGTTAACGTTTTTCTTATTATAAAGGTAAAACTTGTTTTAAACTTATTAAGAATGTACTATAGAACTTTTTAAAATAAAATGTACAAAGCAGAGGTGCTCCTCTAATCACACTACACAACCGTCTCCACTTATAACAAACAAAATAGGGATTTTTTTTTTTTTTTGGAGGAGGGACGGAGTTTCACTCCTGTTGCCCAGGGTGGAGTGCAATGGTTCAATCTGGGGTCACTGCAACCTCCGCTTCCCGGGTTCAAGCAGTTCTCCTGCCTCAGCCTCCCAAGTAGCTGGGATTACAGGCATGCGCCACCATTCCCAGCTAATTTTGTATTTTTAGTAGAGATGGGGTTTCATCACGTTGGTCAGGCTGGTCTCAAACTTCTGACCTCAGGTGATCCGCTTGCCTTGGTCTCCCAAAGTGCTGGGATTATAGGCGTGAGCCACCGCGTCCGGCCAAAATTCGGATTTTGTTGTAACTGCAATTTTGTATCTTGCTTGGCGAACATTTTCCTGCATGATAAAATTATCTTATACAACAGGGGTATTCCAGGATACAAATGTGTTGTAATTTATTTAATTGCCTTTGTTTTATGGTTTGTCTCGGGCTTTTGGGCTAAGTGTTGCAATTAACATCTTTGTTACACGAATCTTTTACTCGTATCCTTGATTTTACCCATTGAATTCGTGGAAGTGGAATTGCCGGACCAAAGAGTATTTGAAACATATTGCCAATTTGTCTTCTAAGAGTGATTTTACCCATTTAAACTCCCACGCGCAATTTAATAGGATTTCGATGGAGTTGCTGGTGTCATCAACCGTCAAACGACAAACTATACCTTTCCGCCAGACCTCCTGTCCTCCTTCGCGTTTTCCCGCCCACTCCGCACACCCACCGCCCTCAGTCCATGCTGGCCCGCCCCTTCCTTAACACGCACCAATTCTGTCCAATCAAAAGCAAACTTCCTCAGTATCGCCGTGCAGTTGGTAAGGTGAAGTGTCCATCGTGCCCAGGGGCGGGTGGAACGGGCTGACGGACGCGGCGATGGGCCAGTGTGAGCGGCGAGTGGAACGTGCGTGGCGTGCGTGCGTTGGCCTGGGAAGCACTGGACTTGTGAGGTGTGCGAGCTGTAGCAGTGAGAGACTTCGGCGGACATGGCTCCCAGCGTGCCAGCGGCAGAACCCGAGTATCCTAAAGGCATCCGGGCCGTGCTGCTGGGGCCTCCCGGGGCCGGTAAAGGCACCCAGGTGAGCGGCAGGACTGGGCTTGGCGGCGGAGCCTGCCCAACTCCAAGGTCAAGGCGGCCAGAGATCCAGAAGCCCTGGACCTGCCTGGAGCGGGCCGGGCACTGAGGCCTGCGGGGAATGCTGGCCGGGGTCTCGGTTCTGGTGAGGCATTTCCGGGAGGGTCCAAATTGGAGGTCGAGGCAGTCTGAGTTAGGATTGGAGTGGCCGAGGGATTCAGTGTTGAGGTGTTGTGTTAGGGAATCTAAGGGCCGATTAGTTGCACTAAGGGGCCGGAGACTGGAAAGGTTTGAGGGGTAGAGTGAGCCCTGGGCCGAAGCATCTAGATTACAGGCTGAATGGAGGCAATTAGCTTTATGGCCCAGGTTCCCTGCGAGTTGGAGGTGAATTGTCCAGAATCAGGTTACATTCTAGGCACTGGAGGTCGGGAGATTTTGATAATGATTTATGACTTAGGGGGAGGGGAGGAGGAGCATCTCCAACACGTGGGGCGGAGAGCTGACATGTGCTGTGTGAGCCAGTTGAATAGAGATGGGAAGAAACCTAAGGCTCCCCCTGTTTGAAAGTTGCAGGTTAATGTGTAGAACTGGTTTATAGCCTGGAGAGCCATGAGTCGCACTTTGAGTAGTGTCCACAATAAGGGTTGGGAGTGCTCATGGGACCTGGCTTGGAGTTAGGACCTGAGGCTACTGAGGCTAAGCAGTTTGGGATGACTCAAATGATTTTAGATGAGAAGGAACTTGAATTTTTTTTATTTTTTATTTTATTATTTTTGTTTGTTTATATCTTCTTTCCCTTTGGTTTTTAATTTTTTTTTTCCTGTTTAAAAAAATTTTGTTGTTGTTTGTTGTTGTTGTTTATAGGGAACTTGAAATTTTAACTTTATCAATCAACAGGTTAAAAAACAGGCCCAGAAAGGTCAGGTGGCTTTCCCAAGTTAGTGAAATGAGTTTCATGAGCCTGAGACCTCAGGAGCCATGGAGTTAGAGTCTGAAGTTACCGTCTGCCCTAACAGGCAACAGGGGCCTCACTTGGCATCTGGGCCCCTTCTAGATCTGGGACATAATGGGGCCATAGGTTAGGGTTGGGATCGATGATCTCATTTAGGATCTGGAAGCCCATAGGTTGGATTATCGATGTCCCCTTCTTGCTTGGGGTCTGGCATGGCCCCTGGGGCCCTAAGCCTCTGTCTCTTGCCTGTTGTTAGGCTCTAAAGAGGGAAGTCAACTCCCAAATGAAAGGGAATCTGGGGACTGCCCTATGCCCGCTTTTCTCCTCCTAGCACTTGCCAAGTTTTAAAAATCTTGGCAAACAGACCATCTTACTCATTCTTGGTACCCCCTATGGCACATTACTTGTCTCTTGGGGGGTTAGTGGAAGCGGATGAATGTCACAGATTAATGTGGGTGTTAAGGAAAGAAGTTCTGGAACACTTCATTCATTCCTGTGACCTGGGCACTAGGTCAGAAAAGACAATTTTCTTTTCTCTCCACAGACTGAGATGATGATTCTTTGGAGCTTACCTGTACCTGATCCCTTTATCCTTTATCCTCAGCATTGTTGACATCTCTTTCCTGTTGCTGCCACACTCATTTATTGGGTAATCTGCAGCTTCGGGATGTTTAATATTAGACTCTGCAGACTTTTACTGTGAGTGATCAAATATAATCAGAGTAGCTCAAATGCTTCATTGTTTTTCTTTTCTTTTCTTTCCTTTTCTCTTTTCTTTTCTTTTGAGACAGGGTCTCCCTCTGTTGCCCAGGTTGGAGTGCAGTGGTGTGAGCTCAAGCCATCCTCCCACCTCAGCCTCCCAGGTAGCTGGGACTACAGGCACATGCCACCACGCCCAGCTGATTTTTAAACAATTTTTTATAGAGACAGGGTCTTGCTATGTTGCCCAGGCTGGTCTTGAACTCCTGGACACAAGTGATCTTCCTGCCTTGGCCTCCCAAAGTGCAGGGATTATAGGCACAAGCCACTGTGCCCTGAGATTTTTTTTCCTTAACTCATATTGAAGTTAATAATTTCAGTAATTATGGAATGAACAACCTGTCCTAGTATAGTACTGGTACAAGGGTTTTATAATCTAGCAAGCTATGTAACTTCTGAGCCTCAGTGTTCTTACCTGAAAAATGGGGATAATACCTACCTTGCTCATTCAACATTTCATGAGCACCTAACGTTGGAGATAAAGCATCGGGCAAGACTGATAAAGTTCCTGTCCTCATCAACTAAACATTCACAACGATACTGGAAGATTATGATATATATATGTGTGTGTGTGTGTATCAAGCACCCACAACCTAGATGACAACCTATTATATAGTAAGTACTCAGTAAATTTTGACTCCCTTTTATCTTAGTAACACATCTCCCCTCCCCTCCTTCAACTTGGATGTATTTCAGTGTAAGACATGATTTATCAGGAAGTTTAGAAGAACATTATATTAATGAGTTGATTGATAAGGGTGCATGATGGTGAGAGTTGGTCAGAGAAGGCTTTTTAGAAATAGAGGAGATGTGATTAGAGCTGGGAGTTGAAAGGATAAGATTTACACAAGTCATTTAACCTCTGTACACTTTCCAGAGTTGTAACAATAGGAATATTGGTGGTTGTATGTATTTTTGTGGAGTTTTAAAAAAAGTTCAAGCCTGGGCAACGTGGCGAAACCCCATCTCTACAAAAAAATGCAAAAATTAGCTAGGCATGGTAGTGCATGCCTGTAGTCCCAGATATTCAGGAGGCTGAGGTGGGAGGATCACTTGAGCCTTGGAGGCAGAGGTTGTAGTGAGCTGAGATCTCACCATTGTGCTCCAGCCTGGGCAACAGAGTAAGACCTTGTCTCAAAAAAAAAGATCATAAATCAGAGGTTGCAAATGGTAGCCTACAATAACATGTAGCCTGCAGAGACGTTCCATACACCTTAACTTTTTATTATGAAGAATGTTGAATACACAAAAGAAGACAGGATGGTATAATGAGCCCTTACCCAGCCCCAACCATTAACTGGTGGTCATTGCTTCTCCAGCCATTCTCCCTTCACAAATTATTATAAAGCACCTCCCAGGCATCATAACATTTCATTTGTAGATGTTTTAGTATGTATTGCTAAAAGATAATTTTTTAAAACATAAGCATAATATCCTTTAAAAAATTAACAATTTTTATTCAAATTTTCTTTTGTGTTACCAATGTGATAATTTTACGTTTCTTTTGTTTATTTATTTTTTTACAGACAAGGTCTTGCTCAGTTGCCCAAGCTGGGGTATAGTGGCCCAATCATAGCTCATGGCAGCCTCAATCCTCCCACCTCAGCTTCCTGAATAGCTAGGATTATAGGTGCATGCCACCATGCCTGGCTAACTTTTCTAGTGTTTTAAAGATGGTCGTCCTGCCATGTTGCTCAAGCTGGTCTTGAACTATTGGGCTCCTCCCTCAGCCACCCAAGTAGCGGGGACTACAGGCATGTGCCACTGTGCCCATCCTTTCTTTTAATTTATAAGTTCCCCTTCTCTCTTTTTTCTTATGGTTTTGCCAAAGAAATGGGATTATTTTTCCTGGGTGTATTATACCACTGTCTGGAAATTTTCAGTTGTATTTCTCTGGTGTACTTAACATCTTCCTCTGCCCTCTCTATTTCCTGTAAATTGGTGGTTTATTCTTAATTACTATATACTTAATTCAATTCAGGTTCAATTTTTTGGCCCAACTACTTCACAGGTGGTGGGTGCTGTGCTCTCCCTGAGGAGGCACATGGTATTTGTTTGTCTCTGTGGTGTTTATAGTCATGCTGTTCAGTGTCTAGGTTCAGTAATTCATTATGGATGGTGAAATGGTGGTATTCTAATACTTTTATTGTTCCCTGGTCATTTATTAGCTGAAATATTTCTATAAACAGAAACTTCCCCTCATCTACTGTTTGGTTACCCTGTGATGTGGTTGGTATAGAAAAGTCAGGATAAATGCTTCATTTATTCTCTTTGTCAGCTTTCAAAATAGTAAGTTGACCACAGAGTGTTTTCAGTTATGCAATTTCTCTTAAAAATCCAGAGCTCCAGTTTCTCTTGAGAAACCAGAAGACCTGGCAGTGATGCCTCCATTCCAGTGTGGCAGCAGTCACTTGCAGTTGTATGGCATTGCTGCTTTGGATGGTCTATGTGTCTTCCTGTCCCCTGCACGGTCCTCTTCACTGCCTGTTGCTTACATTTGACTCATTTCACACAGTTGCATTGCCTGCTTGGCTCCCATTGGCAGATGTTTGCAATCTTACATGAAAAATCCCTAACCTGGGGTTAGTGCCTAGTGCCTGCTCAGTAATGTTTGTTTTCTTCTTGCTATACTTTGTTATACCTGCGTAACTCAGTATTTTATATGCTTTATGTTGCATGGCTGAAATAGTTTCCTTTTAAAACTCCTTACTTTTAACTAAAGTAGTTAAATATTTCAAAACTACCCGCTTATGCATCAATGTAATGTTTTAAAACATCTATAATACCTGGGTTTGTTGTTTTATTTAAATAACTTTATTTCCTTGCCTCCCTTTTGGGGTTGGATGTTCCTTCAGTGTGGTCAAAACCAAAGGTATGTTTCTTGTTTTTCTTTTTTGCCAGCGCCTCCTCATTTCTTCCATGTGTCAAACTTAGGCCCAATTCTTCGAGGCCAGGCATGCTTAGGCAGTCTTATGGGTCAGACGCATCCGTTATGTCATTGCAGTGATACTCGCAACAACTCTGAGACCCACACTCTTATTTCCCCTTTTACAGTTGGAGAAACTGAAGTTTGAATGGCTTGTTCTCTAGGCTACATAGCAAGTAATTTACAGAGCTTGCATCTGAATGACTCCAAAGCTCCTGCTCTTTCTGCTGCTATCTACTGCCCCAGGTTAGATTTTTCTCCTACCCTATGCATGTCAGGAGGGAGTAATAATTTCAACATAGTCACCCATTGCTCAGTTATGTGACAGGCCCCCAAGCTAAAGATTTTACATGCATCATCTCATTTAATCCTATAACACTAGGAGAGAGATCCTTTTTACTGACAGAGAAACTGAGGCTCAGAGGCTGTATCTTGCCCCAGGACACACATGTAGTAAGTAGCAAAGGTAGGATTTGAACTCATGTCTATCTGACTCTTGAGTAGTCATTATTTTACATTGTTGCTGTGTAATCTAGATGCAGAGGCAGAAATGAATATGAATGGAAAAATACATACAAGTGCAGGGTGCCAGGTGGGAAGCATCAGATGAGTGACTTTGATGAATGTTGGGTTAGTTCAGGAATAGAACAAGAACTACAATTTGCTGAAGGTCTCCCGTTCATCCTCCTATTCACCCAGTGAGGCTGGTAATGATTTCTCCAATAAGTTAAGAGACAGCTGAAATGCAAACACAGGTTTCTGGGATTTAAAAAAAACAAAAAAAAAAACTTAAGCTATAAGATACCTAGAAAAAAGTGCAAATATCATAAGTGAACAGCTTGATTTATTTTACAATGTGAACACATTTGTGTAGCTTACACCCATTATCAAGAAACAGAATATTGCCAGCACTTTGAAGTCCTCCTTGTGCTCCCTTCCAGGAGGATAGCCACTAAGGCTCTGTGGGTTGTTTGTCTTAAAGCCTTATAGTGTCATGGCTAAGAGCTAGGGCTTGGTGATCTGGCCTGTTGCCAGTTCTTTTACTAGCTCTGTGATCTTGGGCAACTTAGTCCCTGAATTTCATCTGTAAAATGCAGTTAAAAATAGTTTCTACCTCATGGGTTTGTTATGTATTATGCATGCTAAGTACCGTAAAACAGTGCATGGAAGATTGCTTGGCATGATGCAGATGCTGAAAGTTAGTTAATGTTAATATGATTCCTCAGCGGGAGAAGGGGTAGTTGGGGAGGTGTTTTTGTTTTAAGAGACAGGGTTGGCTGGGCGCGGTGGCTCAAGCCTGTAATCCCAGCACTTTGGGAGGCCGAGACGGGTGGATCACAAGGTCAGGAGATCGAGACCATCCTGGCTAACACAGTGAAACCCCGTCTCTACTAAAAAATACAAAAAATTAGCTGGGCGAGGTGGCGGGCGCCTGTAGTCCCAGCTACTCGGGAGGCTGAGGCAGGAGAATGGCGTGAACCCGGGAGGCGGAGCTTGCAGTGAGCTGAGATCTGGCCACTGCACTCCAGCCTGGGCGACAGAGCGAGACTCCATCTCAAAAAAAAAAAAAAAAAAAAAAAAAAGAGACAGGGTCTCACTCTGTCACTCAGGCTGGAGTGCAATGGCACGGTCATAGTTCATTGAAGCCTCGAACTCCTGGGCTCAAACGGTCCTCCCACCTCAGCCTCCTAAGTAGCTGGACTACAAGTACCTGCCACCATGCCCAGCTAATTAAAAAAAAAAATTGTAGAAATGGGGTATGACTGTGTTGCCTGGACTGGTCTCAAACTTTTGGCCTCAAATGATCCTCCCAGAGTGCTGGGATTACAGACGTGAGCCACTGCTTCCAGCCCAGTTAGGCTTTCGATGGGAGAAATGTACTCAGAAGTGTAGTACAGAAAAGGCTTAGACCAATATTGGAGCAGAGAGGGCATTCCTGTGGAGTGAGGAGCTTGAGTTGAGGTCCTTGGAGAGGCATTTATGCTATGTATTTGGGAACCATGCATAAAAGCAGTTTGTCTGCAGTGATGCAGTACGTAAACACAGGGCACTTGTGGAAGTAAGTTGGGAGGGCTTGGCAGGTTTTAGAAGTTGATTGTGGAGGACAGCTGAGTGCCAGGCTAAGATATTTGGGCTCTTCCCCTATTGCACCACAGAGATGTTGAAGGCTTTGGAATGTGTATGTGTTGGGGGGCAGGTAGCATATCCAACAGTGTTTTAAGATATCAGATGAGTGATTTTGATGAATGTTGGGTTAGTTCAGGGATAAAATAAGAACTACAATTTGCTGAAGGTCTCCCATTCATCCTCCGATTCTAGCTGCATGTGTAGGAACATTGACAGCAGGAATGACAAAGACTGGAGGCACAAAGGTGATTGTGCCAGGCACAGTGGTATGCGCCTATAGTCCCAACTACTCCAGAAGCTGTGGTGGGAGGATTGCTTGGGCACAGGAGTTTGGGGCTGTGGTGTGCTATGCTGATCAGGTATCTGCACTAAATTCAGCATCAGGCCGGGTACGGTGGCTTGTGCCTATAATTCCGGCACTTTGGGAGGCTGAGGCAGGCAGCTCGCTTGAGCTCAGGAGTTGGAGACCAGCCTGGACAACATGACGAAACCCCATCTCTACAAAAAATACAGTAATTAGCCGGGCATGGTACTACATGCCTGTAGTCCCACCTACCTGGGAGACTAAAGCAGGAAAATTGCTTGAGTCCAGGAGTTTGAGGCCACAGTGAACTATGAACATGCCACTGCACTCTAGCCTGGGCAACAGGCAGTAGAGTGAGACCCTATCTCAAAAAAAAAAAAAAAAGTTCACCATCAATATGTTGACCTCCCAGGAGCAGGAGACCACTAGGTTGCCTAAGGAGAGGTGAATCGGCCCAAGTCAGAAAAAGAGCAGGCCAAAAATCCCATGCTGATGTGTAGTGGGCTAACACTTGTGAAGCCACTGTGCTCCACCCTGGGCAATATAACAAGACCTCATTTCTAAAAAAAAACCTAAGGAAAAGATGATGGTTGCAAGATCAGAAGACAGGTGAATTTGGGATTAAACCAAATCTCTAGGACTGATACTTTTCCTTTATTTCCTAATTGTCAGGTCATGCTGGATGTTTTTGCATATATAATCTTATTAAATCCCCTCAACAGTTCTGCAGATAGACACTGTTTTCTGTTCTATGGATAAAGAAACCGAGACCTTAGGAAAGGTAACGTAATTTGTTCAGGATGACGCAGTGAATACACAGTAGAGCCCGTTTCCTAACCTAGATCTGTACCACTACAAAACTCAGTCTCTGCCACTACATCAGGGCTTCATAAACTGTATATGCATCAGAACCTGAGGTGCTGCTTGAGAGCCACTCAGTCATAAACTTTAAAGGTGGGTCTAGCAAATGCCCCAGATGATTGATAATACACTGAAATTTGAGAACCACTCAGCCCACCATGCTGTCTCTCTAGTGGTTTTAGCATTCCCATCAATTATCCCAGAGTCCTCCACCCCACAGAGTTTTCATAGAGGTGATGAGCCTGTTTCTTGGGCTCAGCAACAGTCTTTGACTCACAGCAACAGACTGTGACTGAGTGTGGACTCAGACCCCTACTCTTCAAAGTGTAGTTTAGAGCCTAGCCACTTATCCAGGCCAGGAAGTTTGCTTGAAATGCAGGTACTTAGGCCGTACCCTATTGAACCAGAGTCTGCATTTTTTTTTTTTTTTTAAGACGGAGTTTCACTTTTGTTGCCCAGGCTGGAGTGCAATGACCCGATCTCAATCTCAGCTTACCACAACCTCCGCCTCCCGGGTTCAAGCAGTTCTGCCTCAGCCTCCCTAGTAACTGGGATTACAGGAATGTGCCACCACGCCCAGCTAATTTTGTATTTTTAGTAGAGACGGGGTTTCTCCATGTTGGTCATGCTGGTCTTGAACTCCCAACCTCAGATGATCTGCCTGCTTTGGCATCCCAGAATGCTGGGATTACAGGTGTGAGCCACTGTGCCTGGCCGGAATCTGCATTTTAACAACATTCCTCCAGTGATTTAGAATCTGTGAATGGCTGCTCTAAAGCATAAGTTTGAAGTGTGAGGGCACTATAATAAAGTTATTTCATTAAGTTTCTGTAGTCTGTAAATAAAGAGTAATGCAAAGAAGAAAGACCATGGAAAGGAGCCGTTTATTTATTGAATACCTATTGCATGTCTGATGTTTTTGGTACTTTATTTCATTTATCCTCATAAAAACCCTGTGAAGTAGTCATTATCCCCATTCAACTGATGAGGAAACTGACACTCTGAGAAGTTAAGTACTGAGCCCAAGATCACACAGCTACTGGGTGCCTTAGCTAGGAATCAAGTATAAATATCTGTCTGACTTTGAAACCCGTACATGCTCTTTACAGCCTACCCACACTGACTCCCAGGCAACAAGCAGGAAATGAAAGAATTAGTTTTCTTTTCTTTTCTTTTTTTTTTTTTTTTTTTTTGAGACAGAGTCTCGCTCTGTCACCCAGGCTGGAGTACAATGGCATGATCTCGACTCACTGCAACCTCCATCTCACGGGTTCAAGCAATTCTCTGCCACGGCCTCCTGAGTAGCTGGGATTACAAGTGCCCACCACCACCACTCGGCTAATTTTTGTATTTTTAGTAGAGACGGGGTTTCACCATCTTGGCCAGGCTGGTCTTGAACTCCCGACCTCAGGTGATCCACCTGCCTCAGCCTCCCAAAGTGCTGGGATTACAGGCGTGAGCCACTGTGCCCAGCCAGGAATTAGTTTTCTTCCCTATTGGTGTGTGTTCTTTCATCCAGCTGTAGAATCCAATCACCTGGAACAGTGCATAAGAGTCCTGCAGTTTGGGAGTGACAAAAATAGAACAGGTTCTGTGCTAACAGCTCTTCTCTGGTGTTTTGGTCAGCCTTTCCACTTGAGCAAGCCTGACCTCCAAATTGTTTACCCAGGTTAATTTCAACAGCAATGAGAAAGATTGGCAAAAAGCACTCTCTGGATATATGGCCACAGTGCCAGCCTGGTTTTTCATTGTCAGGGCTCCTGACATTCACTGGTTTTGCGAAGTACAGAATTTTGGTGTTGTTTTGTTTTTTGTTGGTTTTTTTTGTGTTTTTTTTGAGACGTAGTCTTGCTGCTTCGCCTGGGCTGGATCTCGGCTCACTGCAACCTCTACCTCCTGGGTGCAAGCAGTTCTCCTGCCTCGGCCTCCCAAGTAGCTAGGATTACAGGCACATGCCAGGAAGCCCAGCTGATTTTTGTATTTTTAATAGAGATGGGATTTCACCATGTTGGCCAGGCTAGTCTCGAACTCCTGACCTCAGGTGATCCACCCGCCTTGGCCTCCCAAAGTGCTGGGATTACAGGCATGAGCCACCACGCCTGAGCCAAAGTACAGAGTTTTTAATGCCTTCTCTCTAGATTCCATTTTGCTACAAAGTCATCTCTTTGCTTTAACTGAATCAGTCCGTGAATCAGAAACCAACCCTATCTATGTACCTTTTATTGTGTGCACCTAAGCATGCACCTAAGAAAACTCCCAATTATATAAAAATTAGTCAGGCATGTGGCATGTGCCTGCAATCCCAGCTACTGGGAGGCTGAGGCAGGAGAATCACCTGAGCCCAGGGAGTTTGTGGCTGCAGTGAGCCATGATCGTGCCATTGCACTCCAGCCTGGGTGATAGAGTGAAACTGTCTCAAAAAAAAAAGAAAAGAAAAGAAAACGCCCAGTGAACTGATTTGTTTGAATCGGGATCTAAACCTACTTAGTTTATAAAACAATTGGATGGAAAAAGCTAAGATTGAGCTCCTTGAACTGATTTTATTCCTTGTGAATTCTGCATTTTTTTTTCCCACTGCAAAGCCAGTGTTGAGCTGTCTAGGTTCTCTCCCTGTTCTAATTCTGCATTCTCATATACAGTTCACCAAATATAAGCTCTTTAAGAACATAGTCTATGCCTTTTATTCATCTGTTTCCCAGGCTCCCAACAGGGTTCTTGGAAAAGGCATTAGTAAATGTTTTCTTTCTGTATGAATGAATGTAGGATTAGGACAGGGGTTATGGTAACAGTCAGTGCCCACTGAGTGCTTACTATGTGCCAGGGCCTGCAAATACTGAATTCTATATAATCTCATCAACCCAGTGATATAGATACTATTACCATCTCCATTTTACTTAGAGGAAATTTGAAACTTAGAAAGGTGAAGTGACTTCTTAAGTCAATTTTACGTAATGGTTAGTGGACGTGGAGTCTGAAAACCAGGCAGTTTAACTCTCAAGCCTATGCTCTGGACCAAAATGCTATAATGCCTCCTAAAACTAGTATGTAAGTGCTTATTGTATGCCAAGTATTCCTTGTATATATCTCAGCTAATCCTCACAGCTACCTTATGAGATGGAGCCTTTTTTGCCTTCATTTTAAACAGATAAGGAAACTGAAAAGTGAGGTGGCCAAGATAATACAGCTGCTTAGTGACAGGGAAGGGGGAAAACCCAGTTCTGCCTGGGGGCAAACAGCTCCTAGTTGCCTCCCTGACCCAGTAACTGTAGTACATGGCAGTTACACATTCATCCCTTTGCAAATGTTTATTCAGCACATGTTATGTGCCAGGCAGTGTGCCGAGTACATTATATACATGACCTCATTAAACCTCACAGCAACCATGTGAAATGTTGGTACTATTTTTTTTTTTTTTTTTTTTTTGAGACGGAGTCTCGCTCTGTCGCCCAGGCTGGAGTGCAGTGGCCGGATCTCTGCTCACTGCAAGCTCCGCCTCCCGGGTTCATGCCATTCTCCTGCCTCAGCCTCCCGAGTAGCTGGGACTACAGGCGCCCGCCACCTCGCCCGGTTGGTTTTTTGTATTTTTTTAGTAGAGACGGGGTTTCACCGGGTTAGCCAGGATGGTCTCGATCTCCTGACCTCGTGATCCGCCCGTCTCGGCCTCCCAAAGTGCTGGGATTACAGGCTTGAGCCACCGCGCCCGGCCTGTTGGTACTATTTTTATTCTTCCTTTTTTTTTTTTTTTTTTTTTTTAAGATGGAGTCTCACTCTGTCACCCAGGCTGGAGTGCAGTGGCGCAATATTGCCTCACTGCAACCTCTGCCACCCAGGTTCAACCGATTCTCCTGCCTCAGCCTCCCAAGTAGCTGGGATTACAGGCGCCTGCCACTGCACCTGGCTACTTTTGTATTTTTAGTAGAGATGGGGTTTCACCATCTTGGCCAGTCTGGTCTTGAACTTCCGACCTCAAGTGATCCACCTGCCTTGGCGTCCCAAAGTGCTGAAATTACAGGCGTGAGCCACAGCGCCAACCCCCCTGCCCTTTTTTTTTTCTTTCTTTTCCTTGAGACGGAGTCTTACTGTCGCCCAGGCTGGAGCTGGAGTGCAGTGGTGCAATCTCGGTTCACTGCAACCTCTGCCTTCCGGATTCAAATAATTCTCCTACCTCAGCCTCCTGAGTAGCTGTAATTCCAGGCACACGCCACCACACCCAGCTAATTTGTGTATTTTTAGTAGAGACAGGGTTTCACCATGTTGGTCAGGCTGGTCTCGAACTTCTGACCTCGTGATCCGCCCATCTCAGCCTCCCAAAGTGCTAGGGTTACAGGTGTGAGCCACCATGCCTGGCAAGTCTTCCCATTTATAATAGGGAAACTGAAACTTACTTGTCACTAGTGTGTTGAGTGGAAATAGTGATAATAGCTAATATTTATGACTGCTTCCTGTGTGCTAGTTGTACTGTTTCAAGTGCTTTACATATATTATTTCATGTAATTCTTACCATAACCCTATAATCATTGTACGTTAGATTGTAACATAAGGTGCTTTTATCCCCATTACAGGTAAGGAAGTAGGCATTTGCCCAAGTTTACATAGCCAGTAAGTTGCAGGGCCAGGTTCCCACCTAGGTAGTCTGACTCCACAGCCTGTAATGTAACTGAATCTTGGTTTTTGTCTTCCTCTCCATAGGCACCCAGATTGGCTGAAAACTTCTGTGTCTGCCATTTGGCTACTGGGGACATGCTGAGGGCCATGGTGGCTTCTGGCTCAGAGCTAGGAAAAAAGCTGAAGGCAACTATGGATGCTGGGAAACTGGTAGGTTTGGTGGTACCAATGAGTGTTGATATTCCTCAGAATCTAGATCTGCACTGTCCAATATGGTAGCCACCAACCACAGGTGGCTATTTAGATTAATTTAAATTTAATTAATGTAAAAATCAATTCCTCAGTTGCACTAGCCATATTTCAAGTATTTACCAGCCTTCACTGGTACAGAACTTTCCATCATCAAACAAAATTCTCTTGGACAACCATGTGCTAGAGGGTGTTTTAACAAAGTGGCAGATTATAGGAATTTTATTTATTTATTTATTTATTTGAGACAAAATCTCACTCTGTCACCCAGGCTGGAGTGCAGTGGCGCGATCTTGGCTCACTGCAACATCTGCCTTCCGGGTTCACTCCATTCTCCTGCCTCAGCCTCCTGAGTAGCTGGGACTACAGGCGCCCGCCACCACGCCCGACTAATATTTTTGTATTTTTAGTAGAGACGGGGTTTCACCAAGTTGGCCAGGCTGGTCTCAAACTCCTAACCTCAGGTGATCCACCTGCCCTGGCCTCCCAAAGTGCTGGGATTACAGGCGTGAGCCACCGCGCTTGGCCTTATAAGACTTTTTAGAGCGCAAGTTACTTTGTTTGTTCTGAATTTATGGCACTCATTCATAGTATTCTTGAAGTTTTTCTGTGCTGATGTATTTTGTTATATACCCAAATTTTAGAGCCAGAAATGAAACTGCTATCCTAGGCCAGAACTCAGAGATGTATTCAAGAGAGGATTTAGGAAGTCACAGAAGTGTTTTTTTAACCTGCTTTGTGGCTGTGTTCTGTTTCTGTACCAAAGCAATTACTTTGCAGTTGTGACAAAGGTAATCCTTTCTCTTTGGGGACTATAATTGCATTTTCTCTCTTTTTTTTCCTGAGACCCAGGCTGGTATGCAGTGGCGCAATCATGGCTCACTACAACCTCAACCTCCTGGGCTCAAGTGATCCTCCCACTTCGGCCTGATGAGTAGCTAGAACTACAGGCACACATCACCACGACCTGCTACTTTTTGTTATTGTTGTAGAGACGGGGTCTCACTGTGTTGCCCACACTGGTTTTAAACTGAGCTTAACCCAGGAGCAGTCCTCCTGCCCCAGCCTCTCAAAGTGCTGGGATTGTAGGTGTGAGCTGCCATGCCCAGCCACATTTTCTCTTCTTTAGGCCAGTTGACCTGATTGGACAAATATAATCTATTATTTTCTGGCACTAATCAAAGAAGATCTCTAGATTAATTATAACTGAGTTATTCTGGAACTTGGCCTCTGAGAATCACCTTCAGATGTCATTTTGTGCTTGGTCTTCTGGTCTTTTTTTATCTTAGAATGTTAGTTGGGGAAGGAACTGGGCTTTGCTTTAATTCTCAAGTTACCTTCTGTTAGGCTTTGAGATTCTGTAGCTGTATCAAATGATACCTCTGCCTGCCCACCTGCCTGCCCATTTCTCTAGTTTTCCCTTCATGTAACTGAATCTCTGAGTCAAACCAGAAAGCTAGATATTTTGGACTTTGAGTCTTGACAGAAGACTCTGTACTAAGAAAAAATTGAGATGTGGCAATGAAATTGCTTATCTCCAACCTTCACTTAGTTGCAGAGCATGTACTTTGTCCCCAAGTTCACAGTTAGCACCAATAAATAAGACCATTAGCTGCCAAGATGGGCAGGTTTCACTACAGGCTGGAGACCTTTCTTTCTATAACAGCCCAAGAGAAAAACCAGTTTCTGCCGGGCGCAGTGGCTCACGCCTGTAATCCCAGCACTTTGGGAGGCTGAGGTGGGTGGATCACGAGGTCAGGAGATCAAGACCATCCTGGCTAACATGGTGAAACACCATCTCTACTAAAAATACAAACATATTAGCTGGGCGTGGTGGCAGGCGCCTGTAGTCCCAGCTACTCAGGAGGCTGAGGCAGGAGAATGGAGTGAACCCTGGAGGCGGAGGTTGCAGTGAGCCAAGATCACGCCACTGCACTCCAGCCTGGGCAACAAAGCGAGACTCCGTCTCAAAAAAAAAGAAAAGAAAAACCAGTTTCTAAAAACTGGAAGAGGTCCTCATTGGGGTTTTAGAGAGACTCAGAAGTGTGTTGGCCTTGGGCTGGATGCAGTGGCTCACTCCTGTAATCCTAACACTTTGGGAGACTGAGGCAGGCAGATCACTTGAGGTCAGGAGTTCGAGACCAGCCTGGCCAACATGATGAAACCCCGTCTCTATTAAGAATACAAAAAATTAGCTGGGCATGGTCCTGCGCACCTGTAGTCCCTGCTGCTTGGGAGGCTGAGGCACGTGAATCATCTGAACCTGGAAGGCAGAGGTTGCAGTGAGGGGAGATTGTTCCACTGTACTCCAGCCTGGGCAACAGAATGAGACTGTCTCAAAAAAAAAAAAAAAAAAAAAGTGAGGGAAGAGTGTTGGCTTGGCTCCTTAATTCCTTGGTTCTGACCCAATCTTGCCAATTCAGTGAACTTCTATTTTTCCTCATGTCCAGGATGGCCCAGATGTGTAACCAAGTACACACATCAGTCACGTTACTGTTAGCCTAATGACAGCTGTGAAACAGGGAAAGCTGATGCCTGTGTTTTGGTCAACCCCATTCTCTCCTGGCACTCTCTCAGGTGGTCTCTCAGCCATTTGTCCTCACATTTCTTGTGCCTTGAGGATTACTGATTGCTGATGAACTGTTATCTGACAGTTTGGACTCTGGACTCTAGTGGCAGGAGGGGCCTTCAGGACCTGAGATACAAAGCTCTCCTGGTGAGGTAACAAGTAATGGAATCTGTCTTCCCTCACCCAGATTTTTTGGGATACAGGGGAATTTCGAGAGATGAGAATGTGCATTTGGCAACCACAGAGATAAAATTGTGAAACTGGATCTTCCAAATGGAGCCATTTCACATTTGCTCTTATTTTTGCTTCTTTGGGTTCAAGAAAACTTGCTGTTTAGTAATAAGGTTATATACACAAACTTTTGGCTATGGAGTTGGGCTAATGTCAGTCACCTAGGTAATGGATTTAAACCCAAGGCTATTTTGTTCCTAACTTCCAGGTGAGTGATGAAATGGTAGTGGAACTCATTGAGAAGAATTTGGAGACCCCCTTGTGCAAAAATGGTTTTCTTCTGGATGGCTTCCCTCGGACTGTGAGGCAGGCAGAAATGGTGGGTAGCTTAGTTTTTATATTACTTCTGTATGAGAGCACACTCTTGCCCTTTGTTTTCTCTTAATTCCTTTGAAGGAGATGGGTCTGACCAAGCTCTGGTAACTTAGGTGGGCCACACATTCTTTTACAGCTCGATGACCTCATGGAGAAGCGGAAAGAGAAGCTTGATTCTGTGATTGAATTCAGCATCCCAGACTCTCTGCTGATCCGAAGAATCACAGGAAGGTATTTGTCCCTTGAAGGTCCCTTTTCATGCTTCTCAGAGCTTTGTCAAACTCTGAGAATTGCTCGTGCTTAATCCCAGCCATGAAGCTTAGTGCCATATCCATTTCAACACGGATTGATTTTATTTGGTGACATCCACTGAAGTGGTGAGATGGGATTGGGATATGGAAAGAAGAGCAAGGGATTTGAAGTCAAACAGCATCTCATTCTTGTCTTTTTTTTTTTTTTTTTTAGACGGAGTCTCACTCTGTCTCCCAGGCTGGAGTGCAGTGGCGCTATCTCGGCTCACTGCAACCTCCACCTCCTGGGTTCAAGCAATTCTCCTACCTGAACCTCCCAAGTAGCTGGGATTACAGGTGTCTGCCACCAGGGCTGGCTAATTTTTTTGTATTTTTAGTAGAGACAGAGTTTCACCATGTTGGCCTGGCTGGTTTTGAACTGACCTCAAGTGATCTGCCTGTCTCGGCCTCCCAAAGTGCTAGGATTACAAGCGTGAGCCACTGCTCCCAACTCTTGTCGCTTTTTTTTTTTTAGTCTTTTTTTTGAGACAGACTCTCACTCTGTCACCCAGGCTGGAGTGCAGTGGCGCAATTTTGGCTCACTGCAACCTCTGCCTCCCGCGTTCAAGTAATTCTCCTGTCTCAGCCTCCCAAGTAACTGGGACTACAGGCATGCGCCACCATGCCCGACTAATTTTTGTATTTTTAGTAGAGACAGGGCTTCACCATGTTGGCCATGCTGGTCTCAAAACTTCTAACCTTAAGAGATCCACCCACCTTGGCCTCCCAAAGTGCTGGGATTACAGGCGTGAACCACTGCACCCCCCTTCTTGTCACTTTTTAACTGTGTCACTTTTTAACTAGGCACATTTCTTAACCTGTCTGAGGCTGTTTCCTCATCTGTAGAAGGGGGTTGATAACACCTGCTTTGAGGAGGTATTGCACGTGTTAGGTAATATGAAATGCATAGTTCAAAGCCTTGCCTATATTAGGTGCTTAAGAAATGTTAATTTCTTTACATGTGTATCTCCTCCATTTTAGTGCTGCTTAAATCTGATTTCAGCTGGAGTTGCCATACTTTGCTGGCTTTTTATTAATTATAAAAATCATATAACCATCTGTGCAAAGTTTAGAAAATGGAGGAAGAATTTGCTTATAGTACAGCCACTTTGTGTGTGTGTGTGTGTGTGTGTGTGTGTGTGTGTTTTAACATGTTTGTTTCTCTATAATAGCATTGAACACAGAAATGCCTCTACTTCTGGATTCCTTTGTTCTGACAGACCAACACTGCTTTAGGCTACGGTTTTCTTTACCCTATTTCACTAATCACTGCAGTGTGCTTTGTGCCTTCCATAAGTATGTCAGAAGCTTTCAACTGCAAATGGACCCTCCATTCCCCTCTTTATCATGGGCTGTAGCTTTTTTATGTCTTTGTCATTTTAATGGTGTCTCAGGAAAGTGGTCAGCCCACCATCTTGAACCAGGCATCCATGACCATTACTTTTAATTGCTGTGTGATATTTCACAGTAGGCAAAACATTGTTTACTTATTTCCTTATTGTTGTATATTTGTGTTTCTTCCAGTTAGCCACTGTTAAAATGATACTATGGCCATCATAATGCATGTAAATTTTTAGATTAGGGAAAAAATGTTTTCTTATTTCAGACGTTATTACTTTGATTTCCTAATGAGGTTGAATGTCTTTTCCATGTGTTTGTAGTCCACACCTTCAAGGACAGAGACAAACATGTGAATAGACAGTACAAGGTTAGCACTATTATCCTGGAAAGCAATATGAAATACAGTGGGCTCTACTTTGTATTCATTTTCTTTTCAAATGTCCAGGTTACATGTCTCTGGCTATTCCACAGGCTCCTTTAATGCAGGAACTTCTGTTTCTTTGTATCCCTACTGGGCACACAGTAGACAAAGTTGATGTAGGTCAAGAAGCAGTAGGGTTAACAGTAAAGACATCACTAGGCCTGGGGTCTCTGAGGCACCAAGCACATATTAGCAGAACCAGGTGACACTGGGGACCTTTGATTCTATGGGCCCAGCTTCCTGTGTACCTGCTTCCTGCATAGCACAGTACTAGACCCTGGGAGCAGAGGACCACAAGAGGCTCTAGGATAACCATATAGTGATACCCATCTCTGACCTCAGAGAGTCGTGTATGAAACTTTGGCTGTTCAGTGTAGTAGGAAGTCCAAGAAGAAAGCCTGGGGACAGGGAGGAAAGGCTGCCTGGGATAGAGATAACATCAAACTCTTCCTGGATGAAGAGTATTTCAGTGAGACTTTCCCAGAAGGGAGTAGAAGCCAGAATGAGTATGGGTTAGGCTTTCGCTGAGGCTAGTAGCAGATGTGTCTGTCCAGTGGCCTTGGGGGCAGGATGGTAGAAGGAATGCTGTTGAGAAGAGCTTTACTGGGGAGATCTGCCAAACCAAAGAGGGTAGACTTGATGGAGTTCAGGACTCATGAGATATTCTCGAGCCACTGGGTGTTGTGGCAAAAACAGTATTCTAAGAACATTAGCTTGGTCCTGGTGTACAAGGTAAATTAGGGCAAGGATAAACAGATAGGGATACCATCTAGGAGCCTGTTTATGATCCACATGATGTGATGGAGGTTTCTAACTGAGGTTGGGTGGGAGAGAACAGAGAAATTCTGAAGAACAAACAGCAGGGTTGCTGTAAAGGGTGAAAGAGAGAAGACTCAGTCCCTCCATTTGGAAGTAGGTAGTTACTGTAACTTCCTCCCTCACAGAGAAAAGGACCTCCTTCCTCACAGAGCATGTCACTGCTGAAGGTGTTTTTCCAAGTTTACCCAGCAGATGAGTGGCAGGGTTAGCCCTGGAAGCCTGCTTTCTGCCTCCTAGTCAAACATGTTGATGATTAGAAGAAAATGAGGCAGGAATTAGTCAGTTTAATACAGATCTTGTTTTTGTTTTTTGATTTTTGTTTTTGTTGTTGTTGTTGTTTGTTTGTTTTGAGACAGAGTCTCACTCTGTTGCCCAGGTTGGACACAGATGTTAGCTGTTTGGAGATGCTGGGGAATGAACCCCAGACCTCACACAGGATCTTTTTCAAGTCTGAGATGATACGGACCCCATTGTAACAATTTTCTGAATTAGTTCTGACATCACTTCTAGTAATTTTGAGTCATTGTTCTGTTTCTTGAATATGAATAGTTGGTGGTTGTTTTTTTGTTTTTGTTTTTGTTTTTAAACTTATTCTATATTGTCTCTCTCATATCCTAATTATCCTACCAGTTGGCTCTCTGGTATTATCTTAATACCTGGTGCATCCCAATTTTGTGGATGAGAAAACAGGTGTTTAAAGTGTCACACTGAATGTTGGGCACAGTGGTTCATGCCCGTGATCACAGCATTTGGGGGGGGGGCCTAAACAGGAGGATTACTTGAGGCCAGGAATTTGAGACCAGCTTGAGCAACATAGCAAGACCTCGTCTCTACTATAAAGCAAAAAAAAGTTAGCCAAGTGTGGTGGTATGCACCTGTGTTGGTGGTCCCAACTACTTGGGAGGCTGAAGTGGGAGGACTGCTTGAGCCAGGAAGGTCGAGGCTGCACTGAGCCATGATTAGGCCATTGGACTCCAGCCTGAGTGACAGAGCAAAACTCTATCTCAAAAAAAATAAAAATAAAGTATTATACTCACAGTAGCAGTGATTGTAGATTCCCAGCCCTGATGGTACCGCCGAGCCAGACTCAGTGGCCCATGGAGCTATTTTGGTTGGTACTTGAGACCAGTCCCATTTTGAGAACTTGGAGAGTGGGGTTTCTTTCATTTACCAAAAGTGGTATTTGTGAATGGCAAAAGAGCAGTGTGTGGGAGTCATATTTGTTGCAGCCTGGCTGCTATGTGCCCTGTGCTCTCTAGAAGGTAAAAAAATATCCTGGTCCACATCTCATGCCCTTAGCCCTTCCCAAAGTTGCTGCTGCTGAGCCTAGCAGCCTGCTCTCTCCTCTCCCTGGGTCTCCCAGTGGATGCCATTTCTGAATGAATGCGTCAGAGGAATCCTTCCAGGCACTCAAATACTGGAAAGTGCAACCTCACAGTACATGACTGCAGTCACAGGAACCTTTTCTCCATTGTTCAGTTGGCCTTCCATATCCATGGATTCAAGCGTTTGTGAATTAAAAATATTCAGAACCAGACTGGGTGCGGTGGCTCACACCTGTAATCCCAGCACTTTGGGAGGCCAAGGCGGGTGGATCACGAGGTCAGGAGATCGAGACCATCCTGGCTAACACGCTGAAACCCTGTCTCTACTAAAAATACAAAAAATTAGGTGGGTGTGGTGGCAGGTGCCTGTAGTCCCAGCTACTCAGGAGGCTGAGGCAGGAGAATGGCATGAACCTGGGAGGTGGAGCTTGCAGTGAGCTGAGATGGCGCCACTGCACTCCAGCCTGGGCGACAGAGTGAGACTCCGTCTCAAAAAAAAAAAATTCAGAACATAACCACCAATAAATATAACGTGGGAAAGCTGAAGAAAATAAAAAATAATACAAGTTTTAAAATGCAGTATAGCAATTATTTACATGGAATTTACATTGTATTAGGTATAAATAATCTAGAGATGATTTAAAGTATGCAGGACAACCAGCGTGGGCAATATGATGAGACCTCATCTCTACAAAAAATTAAAAAATTAGACTGGGCGTGGTGGCTCACGCCTGTAATCCTAACACTTTCGTAGGCCGAGGTGGGTAGATCACGAGGTCAGGAGTTCGAGACCAGCCTGGCTAACATGGTGAAACCCTGTCTCTACTAAATATACAAAAAATTAGCCAGGCTTGGTGGTGGGCGCCTGTAGTCCCAGCTACTTGGGAGGCTGAGGCAGGAGAATGGCGTGAACCCGGGAGGCGAAACTTGCAGTGAGCAGAGACCGCACCACTGTACTCCAGCCTGGGTGACAGAGCGAGAGTCTGTCTCAAAAATAAATAGAAATAAAATAAATAAAGTACACAGGAGGATATGCATAGGTTATATGGAAATGCTGTACCATTTTATATCAGGGACTTGAGCATCTGTGGATTTTGGTATCCACAGAGGGGGCTTCTGGAACAATTCCCCCGTGGATACCAAGGGATGACTGTATAGCTTATTTTCTCTACTGTCACCTCCCTCCTGCCCATAATCCAGTGCCACTTTATGCCATAAATGGACCATCTTGTCCCCCAAAATATGCTGTGGTTAACATAAAAGAAAGTAGCACATTTTACAGAGGTGCTACTTCAATAACCTAAATAGAATTGAATAGATTTTTTATTTATTTATTTATTTTATTTTTTTGAAACAAAGTCTTGCTCTGTCACTCAGGCTGGAGTGCAATGGTGTGATCTCGGTTCACTGCCACCTCCACCCCCAGGTTCAAGCGATCCTCCTGCCTCAGCGTCCCAAGTAGCTGGGATTACAGGTGCCTGCCACCCTGCTAAATTTTTCATATTTTTAGTAGAAACGGAGTTTCACCATGTTGGTCAGACTGGTCTCAAACTCCTGACCTCAGGTGATCTGCCCCCCTTGGCCTTCCAAAGTGTTGGCATCACAGGCATAATATTGCTATGCCTGCCAAATGGTGAAAAATATTAGGGAGCTCTAGTCTAATAGACCTTCATGAGAAGAGCAACCATTAGTTAAATAAGCAAACAAACACTTGGTTGGCAGAGAATTGAGAAACCACAGAACTGAAGCAAGGCCTGGCTGCTGAGCAGAGCTTGGCCTGCCTCCTTTCCTTAGGTTGCTAGGCTCCTGTGGTGTGGCCATTCCCAGTCAGGAACATGGGCTTGTTGCCTGTGGGGACTCAGCAGAGATGCAGCTACCTGCTATACATTCAGTGCCAAATAAATGCCTTTTATTGAACTCTATATTCCATAACTTGTTTAATAAGTCATTTTTCCTGCTGACTTGAATATTGCTAACCCTGGGTTAGGGTTAGCAGCCAGGCACATAGCAGCCAGGCTGCAATAAATATGACTCCCACACACTGCTCTTTTGCCATTCACAAATACCACTTTTGGTAAATGAAAGAAACCCCACTCTCCAAGTTCTCAAAATGGGATTGGTCTCAAGTACCAACCAAAATTCAAGTCATCAGGGTTAGCCTATCTTTTATCTGTGTGATCGAAAAGATGTGTTGCATTATCTGGCAGTGTTTGCATCCATGGGAATTATTTTTCCTGTTAGTACCTTCCTGGTTTTGTAACCAAACTAGGTTAGGAAATAGAGTTCATTTATTTGTCCTCTGTCCCCCATAGCACTTTGTACAAATCTGTTAAAGGATTATCACGTTTGTTATTTATTTCCACATTTGTCTCCCACTAAGCACTACTTGTGAACAGGGATCATTACTCATTGCTTTGTAGCCTCTGAATTCAGCTTAAGGCTTGAATGGGATACTTATTAATGTTTGTCGAGTAAATGGGTGAATAGAATAGATGGCTGTGTGAGACCAGCACCAGAGTTCCTTCTCTCAAGTCCTGAATTAGGTAGTTATGCCAGCCCGTTTGCTCTTCAACCAGATACTCATGATAATGTTTGGTCAAAATAGAAAATATACTCTGCCACTGGCATAAGCTCTCTGGAAAGCCCAGTTATTTAGCTGGATTTTCTGTTGGGTGCTGGGTCCTTGCATCCAGGGTCCCTGTCTCTGCTTGTCATTCCGGAGCCCCCTAGAGTGGAGTGCAGGTGCGTACTATCAGTTAACCTAACTCATATTCATTTGCTGTCCTTCAGGCTGATTCACCCCAAGAGTGGCCGTTCCTACCATGAGGAGTTCAACCCTCCAAAAGAGCCCATGAAAGATGACGTATGTAAACTCAGACAAAAAATTTCCTTTTCTTTCCTTCCCCTTTCTTCACTGTTTTCTTTTTCCTTTATTCGTTCCATCTTCCTTTTATTTCTACCAATATTGCTAACTTAGTCATGAAAAATAACACTATCAAGTAAATCATGGCCTGTGTCAGATCTGTTCAGTGTCTCCTTAGGTGGTTTATTGCTTGGCCTCAAGGTTGCTACCAGTGGTGCCAGCTTTTTGCAGTGCCCAGATTGTACCTGTCTTCTGTCAAGAGCAGCCCCTTTCTGGCATCATGGCCACCTAAGTGATCAGCTAATCAGGAGAAGGTTTCTTAAAAGCCTAGAATTGGAGAGTGGGAAGAGTGTGGCACTGAAGAGAAGTTTGATGACCAGTCCTCCAGAAAAATATTCTCTTTTTATAGTTACTGCGGCTGTACTCTGTCTTGGGGTTTCATACATGGTCACTGCACCATTTGCCATAAAGAGTCTATATGGTCTGTTTTAAAGCATGCAGACAACAGTAAGAATTTCCTGGGTTTACCTTCGTCCTATGAAACAAGTTCATTAGGTCATCCAGGTTCTATAAATACAGGTTCCAGAGCCGTTATGGCAACATAGTCACATTTTGCAAAGCTGCTAATTCTACCATCCAAAGTTCTTTCTCATTTTACTTGCCACTTTTAAAATGTTGATGGGTGACACTCTAGTACATATGCTAAATATTTAAGCAACTAAGATTACAACTGCTAATGTATCTTTGATTTTGATGTATTCTCCTGGTCTTAGGGGCCTTTGACTTCCTTACTTTTGACCCTAGAAGTGTTTATCTTGAAGCTGGATCACCTGAGCACAAAGATGAGAAAGTCATTGCCTATCTTCCCCTCATGAGCCCCTTTCCTCACAGTTGGTGTTTCTGACAAACTCTCTGACTTCTGTTCACCAGCTGCTCTGCTCCTGGGAGTAGCAAGTTCTTCATTGGAGAAGGTCTGGATTGCCTGTCTTTGCTTCTTATGGGCTTTGGGAACAGACAGCATCCTGGGCAGAATGGTCCCATCTCAAATCTGCATCTGGCATGGAATAAGAAAACCTTGCTAACAGTCCCAGCCTTTCATTGCTGTCTTCCTATTCTCAGATCACTGGGGAACCCTTGATTCGTCGATCAGATGATAATGAGAAGGCCTTGAAAATCCGCCTGCAAGCTTACCACACTCAAACCACCCCGCTCATAGAGTACTACAGGAAACGGGGGATCCACTCTGCTATCGATGCATCCCAGACCCCTGATGTCGTGTTCGCAAGCATCCTAGCAGCCTTCTCCAAAGCCACATGTAAAGACTTGGTTATGTTTATCTAATGTTGGGTCCAAGAAGGAATTTCTTCCTATCTCTGTGAGAGAATGGGTGGGAATGATAGGACAGGCAAAGAGAAGCTTCCTCAGGCTAGCAAAAATATCATTTGATGTATTGATTAAAAAAGCACTTGCTTGATTTATCTTTGGCATGTGTGCTACTCTCATCTCATCTGTGTGTATGTGTGTTGTGTGTGTGTGTGTACATATGTGTTCACTCTCCTACTTTCTAAGTTTTAGGCTAGGTTGCTTTACCAGCTGTTTACTTCTTTTTTGTTGTTGTTTTGAGACAGGATTTCACTCTGCCACCCAGGCTGGAGTGCAGTGGCGTGATCTTGGTTCACAGCAACCTCTGCCTCCTGGGGCTCAAGCAATTCTCCCGCCTCAGCCTCCTGAGCAGCTGGGACTACAGGTGCACGCCATAACACCTGGCTAATTTTTGTACTTTTTGCAGAGACAGGGTTTTGCCAAGTTGCCAAGGCTGGTCTTGAACTCCTGGGCTTAAGCAATCCACCCACCTTGGCCTCCCAAAGTGCCAGGATCACAGATGTGAGCCATCACATCCGGCCCAGCTGTTTACTTTAACCATACTTTTGATTTTATTTTTTGACCAAAATAAACTAACCCAGGTAATCTTCCAGGGGCCACAATTCCAAAACCTCATAGTATTTCTTCCATTTCCAGCAGCTGATTAGAAGTCCAGGATCATGTGAAGTCAGGCAGGGTCTCAGTTCCTGATGGTACATTATGGACAGAGAATTCCATTTGTTTTCTAACCCATAATGAAAACCCATATGAGTCAACATGTGAACAGGGATCATAAATTTTTTTACCCCTAGGTGGAAGGAAAAAGGCGCTTACGTTGCAGGTTATAGAAATTACTGGGAGACGTCATAAAAAGAGCCAGGCCAAATTAGAATGTTTTTGTGATCTGCATCATGATGCTGAAAAGTAGCGATTATTTGGGAATTGGGTTTGAAAACTGAATTGTTGCCAGAGAATTAAACCAGGTGAAAGGTCCTTTTGAATTCAGATTGTCTTCTGAACATGGAGGCTGAGCATCTGAGAGCAGTCAAATCTACTTCCCCAAAGAGAGACCAGGGTAGGTTTATTTGCTTTTATTTTTAATGTTTGCCTGTTTCCAAGTGTCGACAAAACAGTGTGTGATCTATTCTTGGATTTATTTTGATCAGTATTTACTCAAACCCAGTCTCTCTCCAGGACATAAAACTGAAATCAGATATGTTCTTTTTAAGCCCAAACCCTCTGCCTTCTAGATCCAACCCTTCACCCCTAATTTTATGATGGCTATAGCCATGGACTTCCCCGAGAAAAGATCACCCGGAAATAAGACCACCTGTGACAGTAACCAGCTTTTATTCATAACCTTAGCTTCCCAACTATTGAGCATTTTCTAAGTTCCCTGCTATGTCTTTTGGTCTCTGGTTTGATTTGTGGCAAACAGATGAAGTAACAGACTACTATGAAGGACCACAAAAACAGCAGCCTCTGGAAAAACCATTAGAAAGTCAGTGGCAGATCCAGTAAATAATGTCGCCTGCCTCAGCATAATCTGCTGCTGACTCGATTTAGTGGGCTCTAAAGTGCCCAGCTTCCTTCTGACCTGAGCTCTCCTGCCATCTGTGAGACTACCAGAGGTCTTGTCTTATCTACCGTCCACATGGCAACTGGGCATGAGTACGTGGCCACCTTGCTTCCCTCTTTGCCTGGTCCAAGTGAATGTCTGCTGCCTCTGTCCTGCCTTGTCTTCCTGGCTCTAAACTCCACCCACTCTTAATGGAAACTCAGTCTGGCTTTGTGTGTTTCTGGGAAGCACATGACTTCTGGGAATGGGCAAGGAAGAGGAGTGAAACAAAAACTGTCAGCGATGTGTGCCTGGCCTGGGATCCTTCTCTGGGTGACAGTGGCATCATGAATCTTGGAATCAGCTTCCCTTGAACTAGGGACAATTGTAAGCACTTGGCCTCAAAGTTGAGGTCCCTGAATGTTTGCTAATTGAATATGCATGATCCTTGCCCAAATATTTGTCATCCATCCACATAGATTCATGTGTGCATACAACATGTGCAAGTAATATTTGGGCTGCCCATGAGAACTAGAAGATTCATAGGGAATGCATATACCCTTCTCAGAATGGTTAGAATTCTGTTTTTACTTTGTTTAATTCCAGAGTCTTAGCCTCAGCAGGTTCTGCTTTTACCTGTCAGAGAAATGTCCAGTGTTTAATGCATTTGGTTGCTGGGGCTTACATGCCAGCCTCCTTTGATATGTACTTGGTTTTTAAAAACCCATTTTGTTCTCTCTTGTTTCCTCTCTATTTCAGCCTAGTATCAGAAGGCCAGGCGAGACTACACCACTGCTCATCACCCTGCGGCGTGATCCCTGCTCTTAGGTGCTGGGCAGAAGGGAAGGGTGGTCAGGGTGAGGATGGTGAGGGAGGGCTGGTGAGGGGCTCAAAGGAATAGTTGGAACACCAGCAGTGTTATTGTAGTGTGGCAGTTTCTTTTATACATAGGTGGGAGTTTTTAAAGTGTAAGGGAAAAATTAATTTTTTAAAAAATACCATACTTGGAGGGTGGGGGTAGAAATAGAGAGATACAGTATTATTTCTAAGGAATCGGGTTTTCATTTACTCTGGACTGGTGAAAATATTTTTTAAAGCCAGTGCACTAAGACCTCAGCTTTTATCTCAGAACCCCATGGGTTCCAGACCAAGAGTACAGGAAATCAAATTGTTGTCCTGTGTGTCTATAGCTTGCAACAGGGAGGCTTTGATTACTGACCCTGGTTCCACACACTGTAAGATCAAAACACCATCTCCACATTTGAAAGAGATGTAAGGTGTATTCACAGGGATGGTGGCTCAACAAATCAAGCATACTGGAATCAAGGGGAGGGGGAAGGGAATGGAATGAAAAGGGAGGCTGATTCCCTTCCCCTGACTTACCACTGATTTACTAGGCTACCTACTCTCATGAGTAACCTCACAGCTACGCAGCACATGCCACAATCCCATGCTCTTGCCTTCTTTTATCTGCAGTGTGTGAAGGGACTCTTTTAAATAAATGAGCAAGTGTCCTAAGCTATGTCATCCAAAGATTGTCCTTTCCATTATCAAATCCTGTGACTGGGATCACTCAACAGCACTGTGATGTATTATTTTCAATGAGGTGCCTTTCTTAACTGACCAAATGCTGCCTTGTTTGGCCCCTAAATCAATAAAATGTTAAAATTTGTATCCCCTGTTGTGGCATTTTTTAAGATAATCTAAGCTAGAAAAATGATACTGAATTCTGGACCTGGCTTGGAAGGAAAAGAAGCCCTTTCTTATGGTCACTGACAGCTGTGTGGTAGGGAGGTCCAAGTATGTGCACATAAGATAAGCTTGCAACCTCTGGACCTTCAGCTCCTATGCAGGCTTTTCTTGAGCCCAGAGACAAGGCAGCTTGGTCTAGTGGAGCTAGCACTGTGCTTGGAGTTTAGGGGACCTAGGACAAATCCCAGCCAGTTAGTTATTCATTCTGCTCCTGTTTCCTCAGCTGAAAAAGGAAGTTGGTTATGCCACCTTCTTGGCCTTAATGGCATTAAATGAAATTTATAGGAAGAAGGTTTTTGCTCAGTACCTGGCACGCAACAGACAATGGATAAATGTTAGTTGGATCCAGATATACACAGAAAAATACCTGCTTCCTGCCAGACTGGATAATTGTTGAATGGACACTTGTCCATAGTCTAGAAAGCCAGTGCTTCTAATCCCTAAGCCAGATCTTTGACTACCTTTTCAGTTGCTTCTTTAGCACTCTTTGTTGCTTCTCTGTGTGTCCTAGTTTAAATTCATTTCCTCTCCAGCAAAAGTGAGCTTAAATCATTTGTCCAAACTAAAGCTCTTATGCTTTTGGAAGGGCTGCCTTTGCAAGTGAGTTTTCTGAGAAATGACTGTTGTTCCCAAAACAAGAGGGAGCTGGCTGGAAGCACCACTATTCTTCTTTAGGCATCTTGTTACAGAGAGAGGCAGGATCTTCACTGACATATTAAATCCTGTTCCCTGAACCAGCCTCTCCTTCTTCTGCTCCACTTCCTCACCTCTGCAGAGTCATTTTCAGGTGTCAGCCTTACTGATTTGTACTGATCTGTTTGTTCCCTGAGCTTTTTAAACGCCCTATGAAAATTTTCTTTCCTCCGTCGGTCATCATGCATCTAATTGCGGGGAAATGTTTGTCAAACCAGCCTGCGAAGCAGCATGGTGTAGTGAGAAGAATAAACAGAGAAGACTGGGTGAGCTATTGTTTGTTTGCTTCTTTGGGCCTGGGTTTCCTCTTCCAATCTGCAAACCAAGAATGCAGACTAGTCCTACCACTCCCAGAAGACTGACGTTATGCCAGGTACTATGCAAAGGCTTCGTGTAACCCTCGACTTCAGGTAACCCTCACACAGCACCCTGTGGAGTCAGAACTGTCCTTCACTTTTATAGGTGAGGAAACTAGACTCAGAGAGGTGAAGTGGCATTCCTGAGGTCATGCATAAGAGGCAGTCAGGACTGAAACACAGTCTCTAACACTCATCTGTCCCCTTGACCTTGTTGCAGAAGTGATTTAATTACTTGCGTAGCTCTGTAGACAGGAAGGGCTGCTCTGAATAAGAGCTCTTTTCCATGGACACTCAGCACTGCCAGAACTGATTTTAAAGAAGTCACTGCCGGCTCTGAGGGCCTAGGGTATGTGTCTTAGGATCTCCTGTGTGCACAAAGTGTCACTGATGGAACACAGCAGGATGGAGAGCAGCCTCTTCAGAAGCCTCACAAGTCTTTCCTCAGATGAAGACAGAGCGAGTCAGAAGACAGATTTCAACAGCAACTTCACCATGCGAACTTGGGCAAGTTATCTCACCTCATCAGTAGAATGGGAATGATCCCTACCCCTCAAAGGTGCTGATGACACTAGTGACCAAGATACTCATGTGGGTTGGACTGCCCAGGACACAGCAGATGCTTGGTAAACACAGATGGAATTCAGAGGGAAAATGTAGGCATTGATGAAAGTTGTCTTACTGACCATCTGGAACCAGGCTAAGGATCGCCTAGAAATCAAACCTCTGAAATTATATGCAGAATTCTTTATGTGTTTTCATAATTAATAATAGTCTAACGTATTAAGTGCTTAACTGTGTGAGAGGTTCTGCATGCATTATCTCATTTATTCTTCTCAATAACCCCATGGAGGTAAGTACTGCTATTATCTTTATGTCTGTGGACTTTGAGGTTCAGACATCTGATAATGGCAGAACCAGAGCATGAGCCCAAGTCTGGCTCCACACCCCAACCTCTTACCACTGTACCAATTGCTTTGACACTTTGCTGGGGAGAGAGGAAATGATCTCAAAGACACTCATGATACAGAAAAGGCTATGAGCCATGGATCTAAACAAAAGGAGAAACTCGAGTAGGTTTGCTGTGTTACAGTGAAGGACCTGCCACAGGTAAGAAGACCTTTTTCTATTTTGTCATCCTCTGTTGTTTCCTTATTGTTGGTACTCAAGCTCCAATGTGCTGGATTTGCATAGCTCCTAGAATCACCCATATTCCAGAAAGGCCAGAGGGGCGAGTTATGTTGGGGGAAAGGAGCTGGTTCCCATCCCCTGTCCTCCACGACTGTCTCCTGGTTCTGGAAAAGGTGGCCAGGGGAGGGTGTGTATGCAGGCTCTTGAGGCACAGGCAGCTCTCTCAGACTACAGCTCTGTGTGGCTGATGGTGTTGCATTATTCATAACTCCAGAGGGAGCAGTGTGCTTCTGATGTCTTGGGAATGCAGCAGCTCTGTCTTTGGAGTCATCCATGGCAGTGTGATGATGAGCTGCTCTCACAGAGGGCCCCTTCCAGGTGCCCAGTCCAGATTGAGGTGCCCCCAGCAGAAAGCAGGTGGGAATGGAAAGACAAAGTATCAAAGGGCAAGACAACATGGGTCTAGATCCTGTGCAGATAGTCCTCAAGCCAATAAGCCAAACAGATCTGCACTTTGGGGGTAAAGTTGCTATGGAGCAAATAATTTGATTGTGTGGTGTTCTGTAAGGGTTTTCCAGACAAATTCCTCTGAGCTTAGCTAGGAGTTCATTATGCTTCCTGTTTAGCTGGTCTTTCTTCTACTAGATAAGAAATGCTTCATTTTTGGCCGAGCACAGTAGCTCATGCCTGTAATCCCAGCACTTTGGGAGGCTGGGGTATGTGGATCACAAGGTCAAGAGTTTGAGCCCACCTTGGCCAACATGGTGAAACCCTGTCTCTACTAAATATACAAAAAAAAATCAGCTGGGCGTGGTGGCATGCACCTGTAATAGCAACTATTCGGGAGTTTGAGGCAGGAGAATTGCTTGAACCCGGGAGGTGTAGGTTGCAGTGAGCTGAGATCGCACCATTGCACTCCAGCCTAGGCGACAGGGTGAGACTCTGTCTCAAAAAAAAAAAGAAATGCTTCATTTTCTACTGTTTTCCTTCTTGCCCTGGCTGTGAGGAAACTCAGAACTACGTCTTGTGTTCAGTTGTTAATCATTCGTCAGCCATGGTTTCTTAATGAAATTCCAACGCCAGCCCAATCTTAGTTCTGTGTTTAGCATTTTTGTACTCGTGTGTTGTAAACTGCCTTGAGTCTATTTTGAAAGGAAGCAGAGTGTAAAGGAAGGGCTAGTTATGCAGTACAGGAGGTCAGACTGCAGAGAAGAAGGTAGCTTTGTGAAGGAGGTGGGATCTGGGTGACTCCATGCAGAGGGTGGCAGCATTCCAGCTGAGGGCACAGCACAAGGGAAGGTACAGCGGCCACTGGTGCTCTGGGCTGCTTTAACCTCAAGCGGGGGTCTCAAGCAGGGGTCCCCAACTCCCAGGCTACGACTACCACCAGCAGGAGGTGAGCGACAGGCAAGTGAGCATTACCGCCTGAGCTCCACCTCCTGTCAGATCAGCAGTGGCATTAGATTCTCATAGAAGCACAAACCCTATTGTGAACTGTGCATGCGAGGAATGTAGGTTGCCTGCTCCTTGTGAGAATCTAATTAATGCCTGATTATCTGAGGTGGAACAGTTTCATCCTGGTCTGTGGAAAAATTATCTTCCATGAAACTAGTCCCTGGTGCCAAAAATGTTGGGGGACTGCTGACCTAGAGAACCCTTACCAGAGTTCTTGGGAAATCTGTATCTGGTTAGAGATAAGTTTTCAAACAAAGCACAGTGACGGTAGAAGGGAAGCTTTTCAACTCATGAATAATGTCAAGAATGCAGAAGAGCGAAAGACAAGGATATGTACATAGAGATTTGATGGGCTGCTTTAAGCTCAGCCCATGTGCCACTCTTCCTCCCTCCCCTAAACACACCACAGTCTGTGCTTTGACCATGAATCAGGCAATCCTTTGCTGTGGGGCTGAAGTGGGGGAAGTGCCTCAGTTTTACTGTCAGCTCTCTTTCCCAGTCATGTGTCTAGTGGTGTGGGCATGAGTTCTGGGGATGACAAAGATGGTCTGTGGTTAGATCTTGGCCCTGACAGTAGCTTACTGTGTGCCTTGAGGGAGACACTTAACCTGTAAGCCTCAATGAACTCATCTGTAAAATGAGGGTCATAGCACTCATCTAGAAGAGTGGTGAAGTTCATATGAATTGAGAAATAGCAGCTACCCAATAAATGATCCTTTCTATGTCGTTTCCCAAGGCCATTTGCTGAGGAAAAAAGGACCTTAACCATGGCTACCAGCTATTTCAGAATAGGTATCTTTACCCATTCCTATTCCTCAGTGGCACCTCATCCCCCTGGAATTCTGTACCAAACCCGAACAGGTTGCTTTTCACTGGGGTGTTTCCTGAGCTACCAACTGTGCCCCTGAGTGGAGATGGGAATCAGTGTTATCTTCCCCAGGGATGCTGATTCTACTCCAGGCTGGCAGGAGACATTGTGGTCCTGACACAGCAGCCAACCAGATAGTGATGGTCTTGTCACCCGCAAAGCTTACTGAGAGTAGGACATTCTGTAGTTGAAGATGAGGGGCGCATCTTCAACTGCTGAAACCATACCTTGGCCTAGCTGTACCTGCTCCTATCTTGAGGCCAAAATAGGAGGGAGCACAAAAGATCATGATGGGGTACATGTTCAACACCAGTGAGGTGCTGGAGTGGGCTGAGAGAGTCTTTAGTGAGAATATGTTGGCTCATGTTTTGGAAATTTTTGAAAATTGTCCTGTGGTAAGGGAATGAGAACAGTGCCTCTCTCTTCGTGCTGTTGACAGGATGAGTTCATGTCTATCAGGTGTTTTAGAACAGTGATGCCCATAGTGCTCAGTAAGTGTTTCCTAGCTAGCAGCTCCGGCTCAGCAATTCCAGTTTGTACATGTACCCCAAGGAAATGACTAAGTATGTGCAGAAAGCATTCTTTATAACAGGGTTAGAATTGGAAACAACCTAAATTTCCAACAGAAGGGGAGATTGGCTGATTCATTCATGGGATGGAATCGTATGTGATCACGAAATAAGTCATTTTAAGACAGAAAGATTTTATGATAAATGTATTAAGTGAATAAACAAAGGCTTTAAAACAATACAGAATGGAATTTGCTTTTTTTTTTTTTTTTCTTCCTCGTGGAGACAGGATCTCCATATGTTGTCCAGGCTGGTCTTGTGCACCACCATGTCTGGGTAAAGAATGGATCTATTTTTAAAAGGAAACATTGTATTTTGGAGTAATTTTAAGTTTATAGAAAGGTTCTAAAAATAGTATAGTTTCTGTATATACTTCACCTAGTTTCCCCTAATGTTAACATTTTACTTGAATATGGTACATTTGTCAAAACTAAGAGATTAACATTGGTACATTACTAGACTGACAGTATTTGGTTTTCACTAGCTTTTCCACTAATGTCTTTTCCATCCAGGCTCCATTGCATTTGGTTTTTTTTTTTTTTTTTTAATTTAAAAGTTTATGTACATAGAAAAGCATCCGGGTGCATATAGGTGAAAATATTAACAATGATCATAACTGAGTGGTTGAACTAAGGGAGATTTTTGTTTTAAAATTTTTAGTATGTCTTCTAATTTTTCTGTGTTTAACATGTCACATACTTTTAAAATACAAAACTAACAACTCAGGCTGAGTGGTGCCCTCTGATTACCACTTGTATGGCTATACTGTGTATGTTTAGCTGAGTCCTTTCAAGACTCAGCTAAAGAGGGCAAATGAATAAGTCTGCCTCATCCCTCTTTCCCTATCATGCAGCCCAGGGCCAGGCATGGGAGGAGGCACTGATAATGTCT